ATTTAGGACCTCAATTTCTTCTTGTTTCAACTTTGGGAGGTTGTGATGTTAAATTGGGAGATTTTATACCATAATCCAGATAAAAGGTGATGAAAGTCTGAGTAAGAGCAATGATAGTAATAATGGAGAGAACCGAAAACAAGAAACAATAAGAATGCAAAATTTACATGACTTGATGAGTGACTGGACATTGGACTAGAGGAAGCATAGGATGATTCCCATCATTCTGTCTTGGGTGACTGGTATGATGGTGGTGGCATCCTGGTGTGAAATTTTGGGGGAAAATAATTAGTACAGTTGGGCAGGTTGGGTTTAAGTTTCCAGAGATTCAACTAAGTGAAGGGTCTTGAAGTCAGTTTAATAGATGGATCACTCAGCAGAGGTCTCCAGGCTAGAGATAGAGATGTGAATCTTCTTTCTGCTGGTAAATGAAGTCAAGTGTTTGGATGAAGTCACTCAGGAAAAGGGTACAGAGAAAGATGAGCAAAGAACCTGGGAACGAATATTTAAAGTATGCAAAGAAGATAGAGCTATCTGGTTAAAAGATGTGGTCATACTGAGGCCAAGAGAGTTTAGCAAGAGGGTACAGAAAAGTGGAATGGAGCTGAAAAAAGGAAGAAGGGGAGGGAGGAAGGGAGGTCTAATTTGAAGGGGAAGGGTGGTGAAGGTCTGTAAGCCAATATATTGCTCAAACTATTTTGTCACTGGGGCCCCAACAGACCATACAAATCTCTCTACTCCAAAATAAGCAATTTATTGCTCCATGCACTTCTTAGGAACAATTGTCTAAGTACATACAATTTCTTCTTAAAATAATTTTATGAAATGAAGACAAATGCTCACTAATTATGGCTTATATTCCCCAAGAAAATAATTTTTATAATCCCTGAAGTATTCCTCTCTCTTGCTTCTCAATTCTGAGGCCTGAGCAAGTATCAGTTCTCAGGTCCAAGAAGTCACAAAGAAAGGAAGAAGGTAAACTTTGAGTTGTCCTATCCAGGCAAAAACCGCCTTCATTTCTTTTCATTTATTTATTCTTGGTCCAGAAACTTTCCTTCAGTTTCTTAAGACCAGCTCTTCACAGTTGCCTCTTCCTTTTGCTACCCAGGGTCAGCAAAACACTCATGCTGAAGCTCCCAGATATACCTAAGAAGGTTGCCTGGGTGAAAATATGTCTGCGTGGGGCCCTGGGAAGGTTTATGCTTGCTCTGGGTTTGGGACATAGTGCCCAAAGTAAGATTCTTTTTTTTTTTTTTTTTTTGAGTTGGAGTCTCACTCTGTCGCCCAGACTGGAGTGCAGTGGCCGCTCCCGGCCAGC